ATTTTACCCATACATGATACAGAGCTCTTTGCTTAGCCACAATGTTCTTGGAATTATATGTTGGTGAGTTGCAGAAATTTGGCACGATATCGTTTGCAAAGTGCAGCGCATAGTACACTTATACATAGCATGCAAAATTAGGATTTTCTGCTAGATATTATTGTTATATATCGATTCTAATTGTGTGGCAGCACAAACATAATATTCTCTAAAATGGGATATCCTATATATCCTAATGGGATATCCCATATATCCTAGCCCAATATATGCTTCCATGAGAACTGACAATAAAAGAATAAAATATTCTATGCTGTGTATTGTGATGGTAGGTGGCAAAAGTCATACGGTCGAGGTGTCACTGGACAGCACCCGATGGGAGCAAATAGAAGCGAAGTTGGCCAATGTTCAGCAAGGTGGACGATGGAAGCCAGAGGACTGTCTCTCGCAACACAGGGTGGCTATTATTATTCCATACAGGTATATATCATTGATCAGTTAAGCCAAGTAGCATATTATTTGCATAAAATAAGTTTATCTCAGTTAGATCTATAATAAGTTATATAACAATAAACAAAATCAAACTGAGATAAACTAATTTTTATGTGAACTATATAGAGATCTGATGAAATTATTCAATCAGCACAATATGTGACTCGTGATTAGTGCATGAAGTTTTCCGCGAAGCAGATTTTCTGCGGAAATCGCGGAACGGGAGGAGAAAGTGGAAAACTCAGTCTTGAAAAAAGATGTAAAAATTAACGGACTAGGAGCCTAGGACACACTGCGCGATTTTCTACGCTGGCCGCTTGCGATCGATAAATACGGTGCCGGGTCGCGCGCGGTGTGCGTGGGTCGGGCGGCGCGCGTCTCACGGCAGCGTATTTCGCTCGCAATCCCATACGCCCGGCTGATCGCTCGCATTCAACGCGTTTAACCGGTTTTACTCTTTGCATACAAATACACCAGCGCGCCAACAATGAACAATCGCGTTCGAACGCGATTGTTTTTAGCAGCCAATTAAGTGTGTAGCAACGAAAGCTAGGAAACCCGTTGGACACCGGACAGTGTGTGCAGCTGTATGCGCCAACTCGTACGGCGTTCTAAATCTATTAGCTAGCGTATTCAAAACTATTCATGCATTCATCGACCGCACGTGTAATACCGCATGTGTATGTTGTTATTTTGTTCTGGCTAAGTCTATGCTTTGGAGTTTGCTTGAGTCAAATTTCGTTCTGCATGCTTAGATTGTTAAATTGAATTGATCGAATCATCACAATGCCGCCCGAACCAAAACGTAGCAGCAAATTAGGGCATGCATTTGAAAAAAATTTTTAAGGCTTTTCTAAGCTTTTGGTGAAATTTAGAATGGCGAAATTTAGAAAGCAGAAGAAAGCAGAATTTGAGATTTGTAAAGCAGAAGAAAGCAGAATTTGAGATTTGTAAAGCAGAAGAAAGCAGAATTTAACATTTATAAAGCAGAAACCCTATTGAGGCCCTACCTGTGATAGCCAAATGAGTCGGAAGTCGCCACAGTAGCATTCTACAGTACAATAGATTTTTACAGCATATGCTTAAAATTTTCGTGAAATTTCTTTCCAAAAAAAAACATCTACAATGTTTACTTTTGATCTGTATAAGCAAAAATGTCTTAATTCAATTAAAACCTGCTTAAATTTAATGATTTATAAGAAGTGTCGGCTAATAAATATCAGTCAACTGATTTTAGTTTTCAGCCTTTATTTTAAACAATTTTCAGGAAATTTTAATCGCATGATATCTCGATTTATAATGGTAATTAAATATTCATAACAATAGTCAGCTATGAATCTCAGGTATCTGAATATGTATTCAACCTAAAATGTCAAATTGCCCCAAGTGACTCATTTTGCTATCACGGTCACATATATGCTATTATATTATAAATTATTTGTATTTTGATTGTATTTGTTCGATGTATTTGTATTTCGATTGTTGGGGTTAAGGTGCAGTCTATGGCAAGCCATTACCCTCAAAAATCATTTCTAAAGAATTTAAACCTAGAATCTCAATCAATTTACAATGCATTAAATCAATTTACAAAGTATAAAATTAATTTACAAAAGTAACAATTTATTTATAGAAACACAAGTTATAGTTACAATTTATTAACATGTTTAGGAATCAATTTACAAGATTCTAAATTAATTTACAACATTTCAAATCAATTTACGAAAATACAAATCAAGTTATATTTCTACAATATTACAAATTACAAAGTCACAATTAATTCATGTATCTACAAACCAGTCTACTGGTTTGTAAATCAATTCATAAAAGCTACAATTTATTAACATGTTTTACGAATCAATTTACAAGATTCTAAATTAATTTATAACATTACAAATCAATTTACGAAAATACAAATCAAGTCAAATAGTAGTCATGTATCTACAAATCAATTCATAAAAGCTACAATTTATTTACATGTTTACGAATCAATTTACAAGATTCTAAATGAATTTATAACATTACAAATCAATTTAACGAAAATACAAATCTAGTCAAATAGTAGTCATGTATCTACAAATCAATTCATAAAAGCTACAATTTATTTACATGTTTACGAATCAATTTACAAGATTCTAAATGAATTTACAACATTACAAATCAATTTACGAAAATACAAATCAAGTCACATAGTAGTCATGTATCTACAAATCAATTCATAAAAGCTACAATTTATTTACATGTTTACGAATCAATTTACAAGATTCTAAATGAATTTATAACATTACAAATCATTTAACGAAAATACAAATCTAGTCACATAGTAGTCATGTATCTACAAATCAATTCATAAAAGCTACAATTTATTTACATGTTTACGAATCAATTTACAAGATTCTAAATGAATTTACAACCATTACAAATCATTTACGAAAATACAAATCAAGTCACATAGTAGTCATGTATCTACAAATCAATTCATAAAAGCTACAATTTATTTACATGTTTACGAATCAATTTACAAGATTCTAAATGAATTTACAACAATCTGAATTGATTTACATAGCAAAGAATCAGCTTATTTACTTCCAAACCAACTTACAGCTTTGCCAATGAATTTACGTGCGCGCGAATAACTCCGCCTATCAGGAGAAAGTTCAAATCAATTTACCAACTTCCAAATGATGAAACTCCAAAGCATGAAACTTCGAATGAACAGAGCATCCCGCACCCGACGCGCCATCTACCGTGTGTTGCCTATGCGTTACTGTTCTCAACAGAACAGCAGAGTAAAGTGCGGTTGGTTAATAAAGAGAAAAAAGACGACGACGAAGAAGCTAGGAGGAGGAGGTGGAGAAGAAGAAGAAGTGTAAGTAAAAATTAGTGTTGAGAGCTGATATTAATCACTGCATGTGCATGCCTAAAAAAGTAGGTCTATGAGTACAGAGTATTTCCCCCGGGCCCAGGGTACTGCCACTGCCAGTGCCGATGTCCGATATTTTATGAGTACTACCTTAGTACATACTACTAGTAGTACTAGTGCAACACTTCATATACATACTACTAGTAGTACTAGTGCCAACACTTCATAGTTCGTACTATAGTTCTTATATATATATATATATATATTCTATAGTTCTTACTAGTTCATACTTCAGTGCAACAGCCAAACCCTGTCTTTGGATCTTAGACAGTAAATTGAATCATTTGCTAAGGCCCCGCTATGTCGGCCTTACGACCTTAGTCGCGACAAGATTTGAATATCGTACGTCAAAAACCGGCCAGATCGCGATTAAAAACATCGGCGACCAAACTCGACATGCAGTTCTCTTGCGATCGAAATACGGTCGCTCGACGCGATCGCAGCAAATTCAAGGAATAGAACATGTTATTAATTTCTATGCGGCTTGTCGGCCGACAATCGTGAGTGGCAGCCAATCACCGCAGCGTGTCGAGTCACATGATTATCAAAAGTCACGTCATTAATAAAATGGCAGCGACTACACGCCACTCGGTCAGCAGTTTACAAAGAGGGATTATTGCACAAACCCTTTCTCAAATATATATTAAGTTTTCCGTAATCACATGAAACAAAATTTCTGCACATGATTATAACGATGTTCAGAAAATTGAGGATAGATTTACGAAGTTTACATATGCTTTGTTTGGTAAGCGCCATTTTGTGTTTACGTACGTGACTCGTTTTATGTAGACTTGGTCCCGGCGTCAAACTTGCTCTGTTTTGTGCTAAAGAAACTGCTTGTGCTAGTTACAAATACTGGGCCGCGAACCGTCTAACGTTTCATGCAGGAACGCTACGATTGATCGGCGATGTGCAGCGTAGTCACTTTCAAGTCGACATGAGTGTTGCTCGCTGCTAATCGGCGATAAAGTAGTCGCCGATAGATAAATCGTAGGCCGACATAAAGCGGCCTTTTAAAGGTAAAGTTACATTCACATAAATATCACTGTCACAGGCACTTGAAGCGTTTCAATAAAATATAATTGCTAACTAAATACGAAATCTATTTACTTAGCTACAAAATTCTTAATGTTTCTATACTATACTTAGCCAGGCCTACTCTCTTTCACCTACGGCTACACACCGCCGATAGTTTCCAACCACTGCCATTACGGCTGCCATTGCTCTCGCGGCGCGACTGTTGCACGCTTACACTAATATAGAGAGATATAGAGATATATTAGTGTAAGCGTGCAACAGTCGCGCGCGCGAGAGCAATGGCAGCGTAATGCAGTGGTTGGAAACTATCGGCGGTGTAGCCGTAGGTTGAAAGAGAGTAGGCCTGGCTAGTATTAGTATAGAAACATTAAGAATTTTTGTACTAAGTAAATAGATTTCGTATTTAGTAGCATTATATTTTATTGAACGCTTCAAGTGCCCTGTGGACAGTGAATATTTATGTGGAATGTGAACCTTTTTACCTTTTAAGATGATTCAATTACTGTTCTAAGATCCAAAGACGGCGGGTGTTGGCTGTTGCACTGAAAGTATGAACTAGTAAGAACTATAGAATATATATATATATATATAAGAACTAATAGTACGAACTATGAAGTGGTTGCACTAGTACTACTAGTAGTACGCGTATGTACTATGAAGTGTTGTACTAGTACTATAGTAGTAGCTCTATGTAGGTTACTAAGGTAGCTACTCGTTAAATAAATACCGGACACCGGCACGAGGCCAGTGGCAGTCCCTGGGCCCGGGAACATGTTAATAAATTGTAGCTTTTATGAATTGATTTGTAGATACATGATTACTATGTGACTTGATTTGTATTTTCGTAAATTGATTTGTAATGTTATAAATTAATTTAGAATCTTGTAAATTGATTCGTAAACATGTTAATAAATTGTAGCTTTTATGAATTGATTTAAAAACCAGTAGACTGGTTTGTAGATACTGGTTGGTAGATACATGAATTAATTGTGACTTTGTAATTTGTAATATTGTAGAAATATAACTTGATTTGTATTTTCGTAAATTGATTTGAAATGTTATAAATTAATTTAGAATCTTGTAAATTGATTCGTAAACATGTTAATAAATTGTAGCTTTTATGAATTGATTTACAAACCAGTAGACTGGTTTGTAGATACATGAATTAATTGTGACTTTGTAATTTGTAATATTGTAGAAATATAACTTGATTTGTATTTTCGTAAATTGATTTGAAATGTTGTAAATTAATTTAGAATCTTGTAAATTGATTCCTAAACATGTTAATAAATTGTAACTATAACTTATGTTTCTATAAATAAATTGTTACTTTTGTAAATTAATTTTAAACTTTGTAAATTGATTTAATGCATTGTAAATTGATTTGAGATTCTAGGTTTAAATTCTTTAGAAATGATTTTTGAGGGTAATGGCTTGCCATAGCAGTCAGCGGTGCAGTTGTGTTCTTGAAAAACCAGAACTTTACATATTTTACAGAGCTGCAGTTACTATAGGCGATGCAGTGGCTATATGTATGGTCATGTATATAATCTAGTATGCGTTTTTCCTAGTAGACGTAATGTCTTCTTATAGTCCTTTGGACTCTGAAGAGTTACCGCTACGAGATCACGAGATTATACAGTAGTATCACGTACATGTGTTTTCTATATAATATGCGTGTGCGTGCGTTCATGCGTGCGTGCGTGCGTGCGTTCATGCGTGCGTGCGTGCAGGTGTGCAGATATACATTCAAGTGTAAATGTGTTCACGATATGCGCCGTGTGGAGCCAGTACAAGGTACCCCACGTTTATAGTAAACTGCGTCGTACTGTTTCCGGAAGCCTTCGTTACATGTCCCGAGACGCACGTATCACTGAAGGGATGGCGTTCGTTGAACTTTCAGGGACAGAGATGAGAATTTGCGTGTGTTGCTGAATCATCTCCATCCATTCCTTCAGAAGCAGCAGCTGGACTACGCCATCTACGTGATTGAACAGGTATGCAGGGGTGCATTCTCTTGCTGGGCTGAAGCCTGAGCAAATGTCTAGGTAAGGGAGGTAGGGAAATTTCTTGACTCGGCCGAGTAAGCAACGAGGGGGAGGAAGCAGCTCTTAGTTAATAAGCGAGGCTGGCAGGGGGTCATTGTGGTACGAGGGTCTCACGGATGACTATTCGACAATTTACACTTATTTTAGAATCATTTATTGACACCCATTGTGATTGGGGATATATTGGAAACTCTGTGACTGACTCAGAAGTGTGATATTGCACGTGTTCATTGCATTTTATCAAGAAAATGGTACTGATAATGTAGATATTAATGGCACTCTTTTTCCAAACACCAGAGGCGTGTTCAACAGCGCGAACGCTCGCAGCACGAACGCAGCGCCACTTGAACGACACACGAGCGCTCGCTTTATCCAAGATGGCGGCCCCCATGGCGGCTTCCTCAGCAGATTTTAATCGCAAGATTTTAATGTCTTCGAACAAGTACTGTTAAACGAATTAGCTGACGAAATTGATACGAATTGAATTTAGAAGTAAAATGAATGAAAAATGAAATGAAGTTGAAATAGATTGTAAATTGAAGTCAGAAATGTTAGATTCGCATTTGCCAGATTGCCCGCCGCCATCTTGAAAACAACTCGCTCGCTGCGCGAACAGCCTCGGGAGCCTGATCGCGCGCGCTCGCGAGCCGCTTGCCCGCGCAGTGTTGTTCAGAAGGCGAGCGCACGCGAGCGTTCGCTCTGTTGAACACGCCTCAGATTCATTTCTTGCTCTTGTCTCAGAGTGCCATCTAGTGACAAGGTGAAGCAACTTCATTCATCTTGACAAAGACAGCTAGATCTGTCGTCGAAACCTTCGTTAACAGATGAATATATTTAGACTTACCTTAAGATATATTAACAAATATAATAAATAATATTTAATATATAATTTTTTAAAAGATCAATAGTGAATATAAAAACTAAAGTGTATTGTATTTAATCGCGCCTGTAATGCAATCACTCTCAGCATGAAATCCCATCGATTACACGAACGCCGTTGTTCACACGAGAACCCATCGTTCGCGCGAACCTCTTGCAGACGTCCGGCAGACCGTTCAACCGAGCGAAGCTGTTCAATGTTGGCTACAGCGAGGTGATTCGCGACGCGTCCCGCAGCTGCCTTGTGTTTCACGACGTAGACCTGCTTCCGCTGGACGGCCGCAACCTGTACGCGTGCTCGCGGCAACCTCGTCACATGTCCAGCTCTCTCAACTCGTTCCGCTTCAAGTGAGTTGCCGCCGCGCCGGCAGATACGCGACGGGGGGACATGCGAGATATACCGTAACTTGGGGAGGGGTGCGTGTGGGTCCCGGAAAGAGGTGCAAAGTCCTGCTTCATTAAAATGATGGGGTGGGGAGGCGAGATCCACAGTGACTTGGGAGGTTAGGTCGAGGCCTTTAAACCGTAAAAAACTCAGTCTTGAAAAAAGATGTAAAAATTAACGGACTAGGAGCCTAGGACACACTGCGCGATTTTCTACGCTGGCCGCTTGCGATCGATAAATACGGTGCCGGGTCCGCGCGGTGTGCGTGGGTCGGGCGGGCGCGCGTCTCACGGCAGCGTATTTCGCTCGCAATCCCATACGCCCGGCTGATCGCTCGCATTCAACGCGTTTAACCGGTTTTACCTCTCTTGCATACAAATACACCAGCGCGCCCAACAATGAACAATCGCGTTCGAACGCGATTGTTTTTAGCAGCCAATTAAGTGTAGCAACGAAAGCTAGGAAACCCGTTGGACACCGGACAGTGTGTGCAGCTGTATGCGCAACTCGTACGGCGTTCTAAATCTATTAGCTAGCGTATTCAAAACTATTCATGCATTCATCGCACCGCACGTGTAATACCGCATGTGTATGTTGTTATTTGTTCTGGCTAAGTCTATGCTTTGGAGTTTGCTCGAGTCAAATTTCGTTCTGCATGCTTAGATTGTTAAATTGAATTGATCGAATCATCACAATGCCGCCCGAACCAAAACGTAGCAGCAAATTAGGGCATGCATTGAAAAAAATTTTTAAGGCTTTTCTAAGCTTTTGGTGAAATTTAGAATGGCGAAATTTAGAAAGCAGAAGAAAGCAGAATTTGAGATTTGTAAAGCAGAAGAAAGCAGAATTTGAGATTTGTAAAGCAGAAGAAAGCAGAATTTCAGATTTGTAAAGCAGAAGAAAGCAGAATTTGAGATTTGTAAAGCAGAAGAAAGCAGAATTTAACATTTATAAAGCAGAAACCCTATTGAGGCCCTACCTGTGATAGCCAAATGAGTCGGAAGTCGCACAGTAGCATTCTACAGTACAATAGATTTTTACAGCATATGCTTAAAATTTTCGTGAAATTTCTTTCCAAAAAAAAAACATCTACAATGTTTACTTTTGATCTGTATAAGCAAAAATGTCTTAATTCAATTAAAACCTGCTTAAATTTAATGATTTATAAGAAGTGTCGGCTAATAATATCAGTCAATGATTTTAGTTTTCAGCCTTTATTTTAAACAATTCTCAGGAAATTTTAATCGCATGATATCTCGATTTATAATGGTAATTAAATATTCATAACAATAGTCAGCTATGAATCTCAGGTATCTGAATATGTATTCAACCTAAAATGTCCAAATTGCCCCAAGTGACTCATTTTGCTATCACCGGTCACATATATGCTATTATATTATAAATTATTTGTATTTTGATTGTATTTGTTCGATGTATTTGTATTTCGATTGTTGGGGTTAAGGTGCAGTCTATGGCAAGCCATTACCCTCAAAAATCATTTCTAAAGAATTTAAACCTAGAATCTCAAATCAATTTACAATGCATTAAATCAATTTACAAAGTTTAAAATTAATTTACAAAAGTAACAATTTATTTATAGAAACATAAGTTATAGTTATAAAAGTTATAGTTTTAATTTATTAACATGTTTAGGTATCGCCCTTCAAGATTTCACTTTAACCGCAACATCGGCTACAATATATCAGAAGTATTAATCATTTTCTCTGCTATTATACACGTACGGCGGATAGCGCTCGCGTCGCTCGTCGATTTGCCAGGCCACGATAATAGTTTTCGGCGAAATATGCGCACTTAAATTAGGCACGGACGTCAACACACACACACACGAACACGCACACGCAAACGCACACGCACACGCACGCACGCACGCACCAAGGCGTAGCCAAGAATTTGGATTGGGGGGGGGTCCTCGAGCGAGTAACAAGGTCTGGTGGTCTGCAATTTAGTTAATGTAAAAATAGTGCTTTAAAATCAATTAAGACGACGCTGTTTTGTTGACAATAGGTGGCCTACACTATTTCTTCTGCACTCTACAACGTACCTAACCCGACCATGCTGTGTGACTAAATTTTTTTTGATTTTGATTTTGATGGGGTCCTACGGCCCCAGGCCCCCACCTCCCCCTGGCTACGCGCTTGCACGCACGCACACACGCACACACGCACTACACACACACACAACACACCACACACACACACAAACACACACACGCACGCACGCACGCACGCACGCACGCACGCTACGCACACACAACACACACACACACACACACACACAACAGGGGCGTAGAACAGGGGGTGGAGGGGATGGGGGGATGCATCCCCACACTTATTGAGCATAACAAATTGAGCACCCCCACTGAAAAATCGTTCGCGGCGCCTGTAGAGTACTGCAGCTAAGAAAGATTATGATTATGAATATTTGTATGCATATCAAAAGTCAAATTTGAGCTCATCTGACACGGGCGTAGATAGCCGCTGGAGATGGGGGTATATCCCCCCCACACTTATTGAGTGGGTTGGCTTTCATCCCGCCTACTTTCATGAAGAAAATAGGAAAAATTTATATTTTAGAGACAATAAATACTGAATATTTATTCTACAAATCTGTCATCGCTATTCATACTCTCCTAATGTATTATTACAGAAATGGAACGTGGCATCATCTACTGTAAAATGGCTGTAACTCGTTCAAGAATGAACATTATTTTACTGAAACTCGACGTTAATTTTGGACGCATTCCTCATATACGATTTTTTTTTCAATCTCCAAAGTCTTATCACTGCTCACGAAGTTAAATCCTTGCTTTATTCAAAATTAGAATAGACCTATGGAGAGTTGGGATATTGATATTTCCGGATGAATGGGAAATTCAATTTCATCTCACTTTGGGGGGGGGGGGATGGGGGTGCTGAGACCCGACGCGAAGTATATTCCCGATTTTGTATAACGGGTGAAAATATGCACTTTTTGGTTCAAATCTGGTTGTTTTTCTTTCATTTTTTTTGCCAGTTTTAACGTTCTGTAGTAAATATTACGTTTTATCAAAATTTCAGGCAGAAGATGATTCAGTGTGTAGTTGTCAACGGGCGGGTCGGTAGTACGGGGCGTCGCCCCCCCTAGAATTTTCTGGCAAAGGTATTTTAGCCTAGGTAAGTCTGCACTGGTAACCCCAGTGAGGACTGTTACATAGCACAGATTGGTTAGTAAGTATTATAGTGCTTGGTGTCCCAAGGTAAAATGCTCAACTCAACAGTAATGTTATTGTGATAAAGATTGTTTAATAGTGCTGCCCCATAGTGCCAGGAAATTTGGAAGGGAAAAATCTTTTGATTCTATGATAAGATGTCCAAAATGATTGCTTTTAGATTGCAACTTTTTAACAATTCCACACAGTGGGAGGGGACCCCCGGGCGCTTCGTGCCCTTGAGCTCGCATGATTCGCCCTAGAATTTTCTTCTGGCATCGCCACTGGTTGTGTTGTGGGGGGAGGGGTTCTCGTGTTGTTATTAAACCTTGATTTTTTTTTAGATTCTTGAAATTTATTTACGCTTTCAAGTAATATTACATTTTTACATATATCACAACAAGTTTTTTTAAATAAATACAGCGAGGAGGGCGAATTGACTATACAGTCTTCAAGTCAGCCACTCCATCCACTTTGGGATCCAAAGCAAAAATTCCCCTAGATTATCAATTGCACTACAATATCAATTTTTTCAATTACCTCAAAACGGCCTCTTAAAGTTCTAAAATGCTAAAATCCAAGAGCTTCCGGGGCTCGCCCCCTGGACCCAGGGCGAGGCTCTGCCCCTGCCACCCTGCCAGGGCCCTATGGCGGGCCCTGGACCCACTCTTTAGGGCTTTGCGCCAAGGCGCTCGCGGTTTGTGCGCTACTTGCGCACACTCTTCAATGACAGCTAATATCATCCCCCCACAACTGCAGGACCTGTCTACGCCACTACAACACACACACACCACACACACACACACACACACACACAACACACCACACACACACACACACACACACACACACACACACACACACACACACACCACACAGTATTATCACATTGTTTATTGCGTTATGAGAGATTAAGAGTTAATTGCTTTTTATTGAGCTTAATTCTGCACGTTTTTTTGTATTACGCTTGTTTATTTTAATTCACCATTTTATACTTTCGCGCGTATTACGCGTTTTTAAAGCAAGTTGACACTGTGCGCGTGGGGCTGACTGGAAGAAAAGACCGCTTTCTGTCCTTATAAATTATTGTGATATGTGTATATACTAGAATACTGACGGCCCGTAATTAATTTCTCGCAACAAAATTTAAAATTGGTAAAATCTTTGCTATCACACAGTTTTTGTAAAATCTCCGGTCATTGCCAGAGCATGATGATGTTACATGATTTATTTCGACTCCTTTACAACGATAGATGGCAGCAGTGATCCGCATGTTTTGAATTGATGCTGTGAAGTCAAGGCCTTCGCTTGAAGTTGCATTTTTGTTGTGTGGTGTTCGCGTTTTATACTTTGTTTTTCTGTTCTCATCTGCTAGACCTAAAGAGCAGGCTTATAAACAAGGAGCTGTTGAATGCATCGTGCTTGACACCTACACGAAGCGCTATATTTTGTCTTTGTTGCATTGTTTTGTTTACAATGAATATAGTACTACTAGTACTACTAAGTACTAGGCCTAGTTTGACTTGAGTAGAGACAAAAGACGTTGAAAAGTTGCCACGTTACTCGCTACGACGCTAATGTGATGGTGGTGACTATTCTCTGTGAGTGTGACTGTGGGCAATACCCCAACCGCAATTATACCTTGTTACTTCGACTGCGCGGGATTAGGTGTCCCGTCTGTACTGTAGATAATGTACAACATGAGCACAAGCATGAGATACGTCGTGTGTCTCGGTGTAGTCATCGTGGGGATCT